ATGACCTGAGCCAAAGTCAGACAATTAACTGACTGAGCCACCCAAGCACCCCTGTTTATTTTGAGAGAGAGAGAGAGTGAGAGAGGACGTGCCCACAGGTGCTAGCAGGAGAGGGGCAGAGAGAGAGGGAGAGAGAAAATCCCAGCCAGGCTCTACATTCAACAGGGAGCCTGACATGGGGCTGGATCCTACAACCCTGGGATTGTGACCAGAGCAAAAAACAAGAGTCAGATGCTCAACTGACTGAGCCACCTAGGCACCCCTTTCAATAAGCTTTGATTACTGGTACTGAAAGGCTGTTAATTTATTCATTCACTTGTTCATTTTTTCATCTAATTTTTGCGTGTTATGCTCCAGGGACTATTTTAATCACTAAGAATAAAGCAGTAATGAAACCAGATAAGACTCAGTGTTCATACCTAATGGTCAAGTAGATGAAGACAGAAAATGAAAAACTAAATTAAAAATATATAATATGGCAGATGGCACTAAGTGCCTGGGAGAAAAAAAGCAGAGGACTGAAGGGCGGGAGAGCCAAATGTATTAGAACACAGCCATGCTCATTTTTTACATATTGTCTATGGATGCTTTCATACACATGACAGAGGTGAATTGCAACAGAGATCTTACGGCCCTCAAAATCTAAAATATTTACTATATGATCCCAGAGAACATGTTTGCAGACCCCTAAACTAGAAAAGTGGAGATATTTCAGCAAGTGAGATATGAAATTAGAACAGCCATAAAAACTATTATGTCACATAAGCCCATGTATAAAATAAGACAAATAATGGGTAAATTCTTAAAAATATCAACAGTATGGTTGCCCCCAGAGTGCATTTTCTTTTTATTGGCAAGAACTTATTAATCTAACTGCCAATCATTTAGACAGACAGATCTATTTTCATATATAGAAACCCAGAAGTAGACTTTCCTTCTTCATTGTCCTTCTTAACCTGGTCTTGATTATATACCAGGTAAATGTTACATACCTAGCAATAGTTACATAGAAATGCAGTGAGGAAAGAATCTCTGTTTCCCTAAAAATTTCTTTTCTTTTTTTAAATTTTTTTAAGTTTATTTATTTATTTTGAGAGAGAAAGAGAAAGAGAGTGCGTGCAAGCAGGGGAGGGACAGAGACAGAGGGAGAGAGAGAGAATCCCAGGCAGGCTCGTCATTGTCAGCACAGAGCCCGATGTAGGGCTCGATCCCATGACCCGCGAGATCATGACCTGAGTTGAAGTGAAGAGTCAGGCACTTAACCAACTGAGCCACCCAGGTGCCCCTAAAAGGTGCTTTTCAAAAGAGCTATACATAACTTACTGCTGATCTTAATTACTAGTTGCTACAAACAGTAGTTGTTACTTAATTAATTACTTAATTACTAGTTGCTAGTACTTAATTACTTAATTACTAGTAATTACTAGTACTATAATTACTAATAATTACTAGTACTTAAGTACTAGTACTTAATTACTAGTTGCTTCAAACAGTGATCAGTTGAAGGAAATTTGGCGGGCTACAGAAATTTCCTGACAAATGAATAGGGTTTTAAAATGAATTTTTTTAAAGCTCAAGCAGAATAATTTGTAATATCTTTCCTAAGGTCATTTTAAAAGATATTATATAACAGTGTTGATTATATGCAGGACCCTACATCACACATGGAAGATGTCAAAGCAGCAGATACAGCATCCCTGTCTTCAAGTCTTTGCATTACAGTGGAAATTTATATATAACTACTGGGTAAGGGTATAACACTGTTGGAAGTAGACATTCATTTTACAATAATAAATGCTACCTTGGCATTTTTGGTCAATAAATTTGAAAATGATATTTAGAATGAGATGGAGGATAGCTGAAGGAATTGGGAACATAGGAGGAAAAGGACAGAGAGACTGTACCTAATCTAGTTTCTAAAGATGTCTGTGAGCTCATGTTTGTATGTACATTTGTATGTATGGTCTGGTAGACTCCTGCCTTCTCGAATAGTATTTTCTTTCTATTTCTTCCCGAATACATCTGATACATATACTTTGAAACAGCCAAAGCAGAAATCCAACCACCTTAAAATGCCATGTTTCTTATACATGGAGACTTACAATCCTATCAACATATTATACACACATGCATACACATACATGTTCTAAGCTATAATGTGATCATAAATGTTTCTTTTAACTTTACATATAATATTCACTCAACATATATTTGCTGAATGTCTCCCACATGCCAGGCACCATGAGAGGTGCCAGGTATTAAATTTGAATGAGCTACTTCCCTATCTCAAGGAATGAAAGACTAGTTGAATAAAAACAACATATCCCCAGAGCACCTGGGTGGCTCAGTTGGTTAAGTGTTTGACTCTTTACTTTGGCTCAGGTCATGATCTCACATTTTGTGAGATGCAGCTCCACAACAGTCTCCCTCTCTCTCTGTCCCTCCCCCCATTCACATCTCTCTCTCTCTCTCTCTCTCTCTCTCTCTCTCCCTCCCTCCCTCCCTCCCTCCCTCTCTCTCCCCCCTCTCTCTCTCAAAATAAATAACTTAAAAAAATTACCCTACCACATTCTTTAGTAAAATAGCTCATAAGAAAAAAAGTTGTAACATATTAAGCATCCCTATCAGATAAATATTTCCATGAAAAAAAACCCACAGAATTTTGCAAAAATACATTTTAGTATCTGTATCCAATACCAAATTCTGTACATTAGAATTTAAAATCCTTGTTTTAATATCTGGTGAGATTAAACAGGCAGAGTTCTGAGGGAAGGTGTCATTTGTCATAAAGTTATGCAAGAGTAACCATGATGTGGAAAATGACAATCCAAAAAAGAAGAAATATGACTACTTACTTAAAGTTAAGGTGTGATGATAAAATCACAAGAGAAAAAGGCACAGCAAGGGATAGGACTGTATTTACTAAGTAAAGTACTTAAAGTTTAAATTACTTTCCAAATTTCACATAAAAGCCTCACTGCTAAGCTACAGGCTGTGTTCAAACTACACAAACTATAGGTTGTGTTCAAAATTCTCACCAAAATCTGAGTATCTGTAGCCTGTTCTTGGACCATCTGAATTGCTTTTGCCAGATCTTCTTCACCTTCTGGAATGCTAAAATTGTCATCTGGTATCTAAATCAGAGAAAGAGTATAGAAAGAGTAAGCAGGAATATAAAAGTAACTTACTTCATTTCAGTAAAATAAAGGATCACAAAATAAAGGATCACAAAAATAGACACCTTATGTAAGATGCCATGTAATTCTGAAGTTCTGTAACAAATGGATAACCAAGCAGGAAGCTTTCTGACTTCCTTGTAAACATCATCAATGTCACTTCTGATACACTTGAGATCAGTTTATGGGCATCTGCTCTTATCTATAATGACAAATATAGTCTAACAACTCTGCTGAGAAAAAATGTAAGACCATTTCTTTTTCATAACTACAAGTAACTGCAAATCTCTAGTTTATTAAAAAAAACAAAACAAAATAAAATGAAGCTCACTGCCTGAATGTTATGCTCTTGGAAAAATGCAACGGACTCTAACTATGATAATAATGATGGTTAACATTCACTGTGTGCTTCTCACATGCTCATGAGTTTTATGTATCTTACATTAACTCCTTCAGTAATTTCATATGGCACATATTCATATTATCTCTATTTTACTAGTATAATAAAAAGTTATCTACTGTTGGTCCTTTTACTTGCTCAGGCCACAAATTGCCAGGCTTGCTTCCACAGTTTCACTTGCAGTGCCTATCCTTTAGGAGTGACTCTAGGTGCCACATCTCAGAAGGAACGATAGGTCCTATCCAAACAGTGAATGAAAGGGAAAATTTGAGGCAGGAACTACATTACACACAGAATTAGAGTTAAGCTGAAAGGAAGCAGGGGATCTGACCTACAGCCAGTAGTGGGAATCTGGAAAACCCATCCAAGAGCAGAATGGATGTTTGGGAAGGAATGCCTGCTGGACAGGCAAACTGTAGTAAGGATCCACAAGGCAGGGGATAAGGAGTTAACTTTGACGCACAATTAACAGGAAACCAAAAGAGCCAGATGGATTAACCAATCTAAACTTTTAAACAGAACTTTCACACTTCACTCTTAACTAGCTGATATTAGCTAAATTCAGTTGAAAAACTAACATCTCTTAAGGAAAACAAAAAATAAAATAAAATAAAATAAAATAAAATAAAATAAAATAAAATAAAATAAAATAAAATGAATATTTCATAAGAATGACAATGAATTTACAAGTAAATACTTGAAATGAAAAAATTACCTCTTCATATTCATAATCATCTTCAGATGCCTCAGTTACAGTGACCTCTGAAATCATGTCAAGTTTCAATCTCAAGATATATGGGATAAAATGATTCGTTTAAAATTGATTTGACATTAAAATTCGGTATTAGATCCATTTATCTCACCGAGTAGGTAAATGTAATATAAACTCTTTAAAATTTCTCTTCCCCATATAACCTACAAATATAGATATCTTAAAACAAAATATTTTTATTATTATTTTAAAGCATTGCTCTGTAGAACCCAAACCTATAAAAAACTATATTCCCATACATCTATTTACTATCTAATGAGTTCCAACTTGATTGTAAGGCTTACAAAAATGTACATGGTATATATAATAAGATAGTATAGATTAGAAAGAGAAAAGAAAACTTATGGACATGAAAACTATGACAGTCAATTTTTTAATTTATCTCAAACTAATTTAAATTCTCAGAGCTCCAGAGTCATTCACAGTGCATTGTGACTTCTTAAAGTATTACGAATTTCTAAAAAGCACACCAATATCCATATATAAGTAAAAAACAGATTTCAATGTTTTCATAATAAAAATTACTTAAATATATTCTTATTTATTATATATTTCAATTTTAAAATTAAATTTCATTCACAGGAAAGGCAGCCTAATTAAAGCAAAGTATACAGTAATCATAATTCAATGGTCCATAAAGTATCAAGAAATAAGCATTAAAATATCAATGGAAATGACTAGTAAAAACTTCTAACAGCATTGTTGTAAGACTTTCAAAAATCATAAGTTACTTTAATTACAAATGAAAACTTCAAGATGTTTAATTTTGAAAGAAATCAAAACATATACCATTAACATTTTGTTGGTTGGTGGGTTTACATTTCTCTCCATATGTACAGATGGGATTATGCCAAGTTCATTCAAAATGTATGAAATTAAACACTTTAACGTATAGTAATGGTTACAAAAATCAAAGACGAGATTAGCCAAGCTTTTGTTTTGCTGCTGGTTATGAGAAATTATCTTCCAAGAGTTAGCCAAAAGTGTATATAACAACTCATGCTGTTTGTAATAAGAACTGATATCACTTATATAGTATTTAAGAGAAGCAGACACTGTCCCTCATTCTCATCCTACCTGCAAGCTATAATCATCTCCATTTTACAGATTAGGACTCACAAGCACAAGGTTACACAGCTAGGACCTAACACAGTTGGTGATCAGCCCCGGAAGTACAGGTTTCACTATGCTATACTTAAACCTCTCTTGTTATTCCATATTCGTCTTCTATGCTATGTAAACACTTGAAGTGTTTGCCAATTATCTTCCACACAGTTCTAAACCTCTAAAAGATGGGTTATACAGCTTTGTGACTCAGTTCCATCATAAGCAGTAACTCTTCACTGTTTATCCAACTGGAAAGTCACTTAAGCCTATTTCAGTTACGAACAATTCTTAGGAACCAGATACCATCAAAAGGCCAGTATTTCATTGTCAAACAAGTTTATCTCCCAATAATATGGTGAAAAGTAATTTTGGCTCAAAAATAACTACTTAATTTAACTAATTAAATAAGTAAGTAAAATAACTAATTAAAAACTAACATGGTAGATTAAACTACTACAGAAAAAAAAAAAAAAAAAAAAAAAAAAAAAAAAAAAAAAGATGCAACCCTGCAGCTGATCCTATAATACCCATACTGGGTAATTTACCCATATGAACTTCATATGGCAAATTTACCCATACTGGGCACCAGGAGTGAAGGACCTACCTATATTAGTTAATCTACTACCATGGAACAGTTTCCAATAGCACTTGCCTCACTCTCTAGTCCCTTGCCAGCAGCCTTCTTAAGAGACCACCAGGCTTCCACTAACAGTCTGATCAAAGTATTTAGTTTTCACTAACATCCTACTTAAAGAAATTCTAACATCTGTCCTATTTCAGTTCCAGAGCCACTCTAATACTTTAAAGGATTTCTTATGTTAGAATCCCACTTTCAGGTGCCAAAATCTGTACTTTTTATTATTATTGCTTAACAAACTCCCCAAACCTTCAGGCTTAACAATAAGCATCCATTACCTCATAGTTTCTGTGTTCAAGAATTCAGTAGTGGCTTAGCTTGTGGATTTTGATTTGGGGTCTCTCGTGAGACCTCAGTGAAGATAGCAGCTAGGGCTGCAGTCCTCTGAAGGCTCGGTGGAGGCAACAGGATCCATTTCAAAGATGGCTCTAACATTGTTGGCTAAAGGTTTCAATTCCTCCCCATGTGGGTCTCTCCACAGGCGTCTTTAGCATTCTCAAGACATAGCGGCTAGCTACCCCCAGAATAAGCAATATAAGAAAACAAAGTGGAAGCCACAATGTCTTTTATGACCAAGCCTCAGAAGTCACATCATTGGTTACATAGGTCAACCCTATTCAGTGCCTAAGGGAGCTAAATAAGAGCATGAGTATCAGGATGTGGGAATCACTATGGAAGCTGGCTACCACAGACAAATTGAGGACTTTCAAGAGTATTAAGAGTTAATGCATGTAAATCACTTAGAATGGTGCCTAGCTTATAGTATACGCTATGCAAGTATTTGTTATTATTTTCCTTGTTCTAGAAAGAGAGGAGTACCTGTGGAGAAGTCTCATAAGTCTCTCATGGCCTAGTTCCCCCAGGCTTTAAAATGAATGGATTAATAAAATTCATTCTAAATCTTCTTCCTTTCTAAGTTTAGATTTTTCTGATACATTTTCACTTCTTTCAATAAAATTTCCAGAAGTTCAGCTACAGGAAATCAGTCTCCTTTCTATGGAAAAGTATACTAAAACTTGATTTTGTAAGAAGCCACTTGTCTTTAAGTCTCCAGAAAAGCAATGTCATTCTTCATCACTGCTCATACCATAATAAATTTCACAAAGAAGTAAATATTCTAAAATCATTTAGATAGACTTTAAAATTGTAAAATAGCCAACTGATAAGATTAATGTGAAGAAGAAACATCAAAGCAAAGGTTGTTAAACATAGCAATAGACAGAGAGAAAAAAAAAGATTTGTCCTCAAAGCTTTGGAAATATCAAACAACACCTGCCATACTCTACCCAGAAAATATCTGAGGCAACAGCTTTTGAACCCTAGTAATATAGTTTCCCCAAAATCAAAACAGTAAGTGGAAAAATAACTACCATTTCATAAAGCTTAAAAGTTTTGTCATATGGATCATTATCATATTTATTCTCACAACAATCCTCTGACATTGAATAACACAGATATAATCATTTCTACATAAAAAAATAAAAGAAAGAAACTTAATCAAGGAGATTAAGAAATCTTCCAAAAATCATATACCTATAAGTGACAAAGACAAATTTCTTGAATAAAAATATCAGGAATTTTCTACATTATCATATTGTGTCTACAGTGACACAACAAGAATGTGCAATTTTTACCAAAATCCTAGGTACTTACTTTCCAAACTTTCTAGTGTTATATCATCAACAGCTAAATCAAACCATTTAAATAGCTCAATTTGAAGACCCTAAAGGAAAGAGAAGTATAAAAGAGGGCAAACATACCAACCCAAAGATTAAATTAGCCAAGGGCAAGAGATTAATGAGACAAAAGGTCAGGAAGAGGATAAACATCCAAAATAGGAACCACTATTTTCCTTGACTGGTATTTTCAGTATCCACAAAATGATCCATACATAAAATCTTCCCAAGAGCAACTGAGTTGAAATGTGATGTTGAGGTGCTACCGAAGAAATAAATGTAATTTGGCACGTGCGTTGGTATGCATCTGTCTGGCTGAGCTGGCTAGCAACACGTGGACAAATGCACAGATGAATCCCCAAATGACTGTGTGGCAGTTTACAAATACGCATATAGTACAAAATATAAAAATAAGTAAGTATGGAAATTCAAAGAGAAAGAACAGAAATAAGATAAAGGTAAAGATACAGTACATGTCATAAAGTCTCACGAACTCTGTCAAACATAAGCTACAGATTTGACCCAAAGCTTCCCAGCAGTCTGGGTAAAGAGGGGAACGTAATCAGATACGAATTCCGTAACCATCCAACAAAAACAGATGAGTTTCTCAGCAGATGTACAGCAATTTCTGGTTGTGAAGCCCGAGAGAAATTACTCTCTCCCATTCTCATAAAGAGAACACTGTGGATTGTACCGATATTGATTCCCTTGGCCATCGGGACAGCCAGAAAGACTGAGTGAAGCAGGATCTGATGGAATACCATGTGTAAAAAAAGGTTGGAAAGACTGCTTTAGAAGCAATGTTGCCAGAATAGGAATAAGCAATTGACCAAGAATTGCCTGAATGATAAAAACCCTCTACTCTCATTCTACTTTTACTGGACAACTTTCTCATGTGTAATTTAATCTCTAAGGTGACCCTATTCTGCAGGAAATGTCCATACAATTAAGCTGGTCACAGTTCTCAGGCAAAGTGATTTTTTTTCCATTGCAGAATAAACCAGAATTCTGGCTCAAAATCAGTTTCTTAATGCCAAGAAAAACCCTCTTCTTATTATCTGTCTAGTATTCCTTCAAAGAACATTGTTAAACTCCATTTCCGAAATTCATTTTTCCCTCCTTTCTATTCTCTTTAGGTCTAGCTATTGCCTTTCTGCCTGCTTAATGCTAAGTTGACATCTAATATTGTGCCTAGTGTTCTAGTCTCCTCTTGCCCAGGGTAAAGTCGGTGATTCCACTTCCTCTCTGACCTGCAGCCACAGCCCTTAGCACCACCCATTTCTAGGCCACATTCAGTATCCCAGAATCAGAGCCTACACCCAGACTAAGGGTCCCACTCCACATCTCCCCTTGCTCTGAAAGAAATTTAGTAATACTTGTGATTTGCATATAATTTGCATATTATGTATCAGTTCCCTGATGGCACTTGGTCACCATGGGTGAACTGACTGGCAGTTTCTGCACTGGCAGGATCTGTACCAGATCTCGACCTTGTAGATCCTATCAGAAAATAGGACAATATACGTAGAAACTGTCAGGAAACCCTAAATCCATCACAGTACTACAGAAGACACAACTGCAAGAAGCCTCAGAGAAGCATTTCAGCTGGCATAATGGAGTCGAGCTTGAGGTGACAGTTGATATGATGGGGTCACAAACAAGGCTCTACAAATGAACCACAGCCAGAAAACTATGAATGATTTTTAGATGTGAACACCATACAAAGTGTTCCTCACACGCTCGTCTCTTCCCAGTGCTGCACTGGAGGTGCATCACTGACAGCAGCAGCATCTTTACAAGGAACTGGAATGAAACACACAGTTAATTATATTTTACATGATTTCCCAAAGCTACTATAGACAGAAACTGCTTTGTAATCTTTGCCGTTACTGCAGAGCCAATGTACATAAAGGCAATCTAAAATCTAGCCTGGATCCTTCATGACCAACATTTTACTTACCAAATTGAAATAAAAGTACTGTAAATGGCAAACACCACAGCCATGGTTCCCTTTCTTAGGAATGCCAGTTTGAATAATCTAACTTAACTGAATAATAGACACCGAAGATGGCAGATAACTGGCTACCACTTGCTACCACTTTCTCCACTGTTATTTGTTTTCTGCAGTCTTTCCCACCAAGTCTTCAGGTGGTCTCAGAATCTTATTAACACCACATACCAGGGAGCCACTACCAATTCAACAGACACGGCAAGAGTGGAAATTTATTGGCTACCCCTGCCCCAGACACCATTGCACATCTTCTGCCTCAGAAGGTGGAAAATAACTTTCTTTTCAAAATATAAGGCTCACTGTTCTCATAGCGGGTGGTGGTTTAAGTTTTTCCAACTTTATGCCAGGAGATCCAAAGATACGGGCTCTATAACTAAAAATATAGATATACCTCTATCTGAAAATATGATGGCTGGCAGTTAAGAAATTTGTTTACAGCCTTATTATTCCAATTATATTCTTTAGACCAGCAGCACCAGCAACACCTGGGAGCTTATTAGCAATGCAGAATTTCAGCCCTCACTAGAACTTACTGAATTAGTCTTCATTTAAAGATCTGTATCTTTGATTCATATGCACATTAAAGTTTGCCCAGACTAGAGGACAACACAACAAATTCTTTCTTTCTTTCCAAATAGCCTATGATTTTCATGCATGTAAAATTCAGCACTCCAGGCTTAGTAACATGCCTTTTGGTCTAGATTCTACATTCAGACTGTCTATCCTTGTATTTGAATATATGTAGGGTGTAACTAAGATGCCATGGACAAATTAATTTTCCCAATGATAATAAGAGATAGATGACTTGAGTACCTAACGATTATTAAGGATTTTACAAATATCTGCTCACTCAATACTACAAAGATTCCAGAGAAGTAACATAAGAGATGGGAAAAATCACTAAATGTTAAAAATAATGAATAAAAAGACTGTTAAATGATAAAAATTCAATTTTAATTAAAGTTATCAGTGAACATTACTATTACAATGAACGATTGTCTAGGGATATAATTTAAGAAAACAAGCATGCATCTTAGATGAGGTGTCTAAGTGTGTTCGCCATATTTCAGTTGACTAGTTTAATGGAATCTTTAATTTTGCACTTTCAGAAATAGTTGACTTTGGGACTGAATCCAGAGTTGATCAGCTTCAAAAGACTGGTTTAAACTCACTCAACTCCCAGAAATTGCTGGTGGGGCCAGAGCAAACCTCTTCAGTGGTCAGCAAACTTATCTCCATTATCTAAGAAGCCAAATTCTTAGCATTGGAATGCGTTGAAAGATAAAATAATCAAAATCCAGCTAAAGGAGCAGAGAATCAGTGCAAAAGGAGGGAGATATCAAAGACAATACCTCGGGGGCTCCACTTTCCTAGAGTCCATGTATTCCAATATTCTTCCTTGAACATTTCTTTTGACACGTAGCAACAAAATCAATTAAACACTAGCTTTCTTAGTACAATTCATTCCAGCTTGCATCTCCCAATTGGACTGGGCATTCCCATATGTCCCTAGCCATACATTAACTGTAGTTCCTACTCCATATGGAAAACCTTACCCAAGCTGTCCTGATTTCTAATAGAGAATTCATTCATAAGAGAACAACCAGCTTTCTTTACATACACTTGACCCTTTACAAAGCACATAGTTAAAATCTGGTCTTATGTTTTACAGTGTTGCAAGTATCTTTCTAATGAGGAGTTCTCCAGAGGATTCATGTGCTTTCATAAACAGATTTCTTCAAAGCTCTGGATATAGCTAAGAAAGGAACAATGTACATGTATGTTTGTATCTTGTGCAGAAGTTTAAAACATAAAAGCAATGATATTGTGAATTGCTTCAGAAGAGAAACAGATAACACCTGCCTTTACAGGTAGTAGGTTACAAAGAAGAGGTGTTGCAGGGGTAAGAATTATTTTTCCTGCATACATACTCTAAACTTACAAAGAAAACGGGGACTTTACTTAATGAAGCCATTCCCCTCATGGTGGATCCTGGCTGTTTTCGGTTTGGGCCCTAATAATTTGTACATGTTCTTTATGTTTGAATGTTTAACAGCAAAGAAAAGGGTGACTTCCTGAAGAATTACAGTCAACCTCTTTTAAAGATTTAATATTGATATCTTGTTGTCTAGTATTCTAAGGAGCATCTGTTCAGTCATAAATAAGCGAAGCCCAAGAACAAATGCAGTAGAAGTGATTAAGTATATGTGCAAAGTAGAGAACATCAGATCTCTGATTCATTTGTGCATATTATAACTTTTATTTACCCACTGCAATAGCTCAATTAAATTACCTGAGAGCTAAAGACTTTAAACCCAAGAAAGTCTCACTTCAGCAACTATCATAATTGCCTTAAGAAACAATGTCAAATAACATTATACAGTCAACTCTTAATTATGCATGTTAAGAGAGCCCAGGGATACAAGGATAATTGGCATTCAAAAGTAATCCTCAAACTTCATTTTAACTAAGAGTTAAAGCCTCACTTATGACTGAACTTCCCACCTAAACAATGAATGTAGGAAAACTAGCTATCTGTGTAGTTCTGCTATCCCTGGACTACCCTTTGGTTGAAATCCAAAATAGTAGTCAACTAAAGGGAGATGGAAGAAAAGCAAAAAGGCAAGATAATTCATAAACCGGATAATAAAATCCTAAAAAGTTAGAGTTGCTTATATTTACAAATGTGATTATTTGGAGAAATCTTTGTCAGGCAGGTTTTTTTTGCAAACTGCTATACATTTGCAGTTGTAACCCAGTGATCGCCTGGAAAATTAAATAAACCGAAAAGCTGTACTATATGGGAGTCCACCATTTATTCCACAGGGATATCTGCAAAGAAGTTAACCCATCGTGTTGGCCTCGTGTTAACAAACCATGCGTTACAGAAATCATCTTAATGTAAACAAAAATAAGATGCTGGTTACCATTCACTACCAGGGACACTGAAAAACATTATGCTTGATGCAGTTAAGTTCTGTAAGAATTGTTGGCTCATTTTCGAATTTAAAAAGGAATTTTACTGGGAAAAGTAGCTATTTAGAGCTCTGAAAATAGTACAATGCCTCATTTAAGACACTAAGGCACCTACATATTTCCTTTAAATTGATTTTGAACTATTGAAGCTTATATTCCTATAAAGATCATGTTTGCATTGAAGAAAATACCACATATTCTCTTTGATCTTTTCAACTAAGTTCTTCAAAGCTCCCTGAAGCACCGGTGTGTACAGAGCCTGAGTCACGACAGGTGAACCAGTTTGCCAAAGCCCACAAAACCAATCATTGCCGAATCTCTGAAGTCTTGAATTAAAGCCGGGGGATTCAAAGTTGGACAAAGAAATAATAAAGCAGATTTTGGAGTTTCCTTGATATCTTTAAAACAGATAACCCTCTCTCTCCCACCTGCCTTAAAAAAGGCACCTTTTTCTCACGAACTCTCCTTATCTCTCCAGTACAATTACTCTACGTGCCCAGCGGAGGTGAGCTCAAATGCCTTACCAAGAAATAGTGAACCTAATTATTCACATATAGCTATTCCATTTTTCTGGTATTTCCATTGATAATTGCTCATCACTGCCTGGTTTCTTCCTAACACCTCCGAGCCTTTTCAGCTCACCGGGTCATCATTTAGTTGCTTTAAAAAAAAATGTAATAATTATTATTAAGTAGCCAAAATTGCAACTACCAAGGAAGTTGACGCTACCACAACAAATCATTTAAGCATTGGTCAACTGAACCATCTACAGAATCACAGGTTGAATATTCTGAGCTTCAGCTCCTTAAAACGCAAAGGCCGAAGTCTTTCCCGGTCTCCTAACTTTCCTTACTGAATTGGTTCCCACGATATTCCGCAGGTTTAGGGCTTATTTAGGAAAATCACTAAGCGAAAGGACGGTTGAATCAATCTGTTGTACCACCTTAACATAAAACTTCCATCCAAAGTTTGCAAAGTGGTGACTAAGTACCAGATTCCTGAAGGTTCTTCCAACAGGAATGCGGCAGCCTAACACTCCGAAAAGGGGAAAATTTTAGTGGGTAGCTATCAGGGGAACACGGTGCGGGAGACGCCACCATGAGGTCCAAATGGCGTCTCGGCCGGCTTGGTAGCCACAAGCCTCAGAGGGCGCCCCCAGTGGGAAGCCCGCGCCCTCGTCCCCAACCCGTTACCAAGGGCAGCGCCTGGAGGCCGCGCCTACACTTAAGGATACGCTCCAGGTAGTAGGCGCCCTCGGCGGCCACCGCCTCCGCGGTGTCCCGAGCAGCGGTCAAGCCCGTGCCCAACGCTTCTTCCAGGACCCGCAGGGCCAACGTGGGCAGTCCTTGCTTAGCAGCCATCTGAGGCGGAACGGCCCGCTGCCTCCCTAAGAGCAACTGCGAAGACGCCTGCCCGAGACCGCACGCAGCTCTCGCGAGACTCTGACACCCTCACGGCTTCCACCCAGCCAGTTCCGCGCACCTAAGGGTTGCTGCAGCCCAAAGCTTTAGGGCCCTCTGAGCTTCACTGGTTACCATGGCAATGTCGTTGCCTAGTTACCCTAGGACGCAGCTCCTGGAGTGGATGAGATAAAACGCAAGAAACAGTCGGCTTGGATTATATACATTTTGTTGCCGAGCCAGTTTGGGGTTTGCTTTGGTTTGGTTTTCATTTTAACCTTAGCATTTCTTTCTCACTTGGTTGGCTTCCCTAAGTTGTCCTTCTCCCGGTTCTTGCATGCCCATCATCAGCTACCTAATTTTAGATGTGTGGAGAGCCCCCATTATCCACAGGGAAAACTCCTGGAAAAGAGGAAGAACCTCAGTGCCAAGAGGGAAAAAAAAATTTTTGTAGAAAGCATAATTGAGAGATTAACTCAGGTGAATTACCAGCCTCAGACGCTGAGCAACAAAATAGGATAGGGGCGCCTGGGTGGCTCAGTCGGTTAAGCGTCCAACTTCACCTCAGGTCATGATCTCACTGTTTGTGGGTTCGAGCCCCGCGTGGGGCTCTGTGCTTATAGCTCGGAGCCTGGAGCCTGCTTTGGACTGTGTCTCCACACCCCCCACCCCCCGCCCCTCTCATGCAGAGGTCTCAGAGGTCTCTGTCTCTCAAAAAAAAAAAAAAAAAAAAAAAAAAAAAAAAAACAAAAAACTAGGATAGTCACCTTAGTCAATTTCCTTCTTGGTTTCCTTTAAAACGTTTATCTGAATATCTGTTTTGACTTAGGTTTCATACACTGGGACTTGGAAGAACATTTGTAGCGTTGACCCTTGCCAAGAGAAAGCCACTTTCATAAGAACTATGAGGTACAAATAGTCCTAACATAATGTATTATAAATGATATTTGTCCAATCATGTGCACTCCTTTTGCGATGACAGAATCTTCCTCAGGTTGTATTGTGTATATATCAGAAACACGTACTGAGCCTTTTTCTTTGCAGATTCTTTTTCAGTCTATGTTTTTTGATGAAAACTGAATGCCAAACAGCAATTCATTATAAAAGCTCCCATTTACTACCAAAACAAAACAAACAAAAAAGCAATAGTAGTAAGCATCCTAATGAGGTGATTGAGAGCCTGGGTGTTGGAACGAGAGGCTGCATTCAGATCCTGGCTCCACCACTTACCAGCTCTGAAACCTTGGGCAAGCCACTTAATCCAGGCCTCAGTTTCCTCATTTGTAAAATGACCATAATAATATTACCTACCTACAACAAAGCATTGTTGCAAGAGGTAAAACATAAAGAATTAAGAACTTACCAGACAAAAGTAGACACTAAGAAATAGTTGTTATTTCTATTGAAGTTAATTGCTTAGTTTTGTTTTGTTTTCAGAATAATCAAAACTCACAATTAGAAATAATACTCCTTCGTTTCTCATACCTATTCTTTTAAAAACTTACTCTTTGGGGGCGCCTGGGTGGCCCAGTCAGTTAAGCAACTAACTCTTGATTTTGGTTCATGCCATGATCTCACAGTTCGTGAGATTGAGCCCCACATCAGGCTCTGTGATATTCTCTCTCCCTCTCTCTGCCCCTCGTTCTCTCAATAAATGAATAAATAAACATCTAAAAAAAACTTTTTGTCCTTGATGTTTCCCATCAAGCATATCCTCAGTGCTTATTAAATTCAAGGAACAATTACTAAGAGGCTGAAAATGAAAATAAAGGAGAGGAACTCTGAAATTGGGGGATCCACTCCTTTTAGAGAAAGTCTGCTGTTTGTTCCAAAGGGAGGCATTACCTTATCCCTCAAGTTTGTTTTCTGTAAACACATGTCTGAGAAATGGCCCAGGTAAGGAGTGGTCAGGGCTTTGCACCCCCAGCAAAGCATGATGGAGCATGAGAAAGCCATGAAGGAGAGTCTCTCTGAATAATTAATGTTTACATTGATTTTTTTTTTTTGTCTGTTACATCAGCTGTTCTCTTCCTTAGATTTTAGATGTAGTATGTCATGTTCTACACATAGGTTTGAATTCTAGCTCTTCTGTATGATCTTAATTAATTTAAGCTCTTTGAGCCTTAGTTTCCTCTTATCTAAAAGAGATATTTTAATACCTATATTACCAAAATACAGTGAATGAAATGTCTTCTTTGGGAAAATGTCTATTCATGTCTTCTCCCCATTTCTTAACTGGATTTGTTTTTTGGATATTGAGTTTGCTAAGTTCTTTATAGATATTGGATACTAACCTATTATCAGATATGTTATTTGCAAATATCTTCTCCCATTCCTTACACTGCCTTTTGGTTTTGTTGATTGTTTCCTTTGCTGTGCAGAAGCTTTTATTTTGATGATGCCCCAATAGTTTATTTTTATTTTTGTTTCCTTGCCTCAGGAGACATATCTAGAAAGAAGTTGCTATGGCTGATGTCAAAGAAATTACTACCTGTATTCTCCTCTAGGATTTTTTGTGGTTTTGGTCTCACATTTAGGTTTTTAATCCACTTTGAATTTATTTTTGTGTTTAGTATAAGACAGTGGTCCAGTCTCATTCTTTTGTATGTTGCTGTCCAGTTTTCCCAATACCATTTGTTACAAAGACACTCTTTTTCCTATTGGATATTCTTTCCTGCATTGTGGAAGATTAGTTGACCATATAGTTGTGGGTTCATTTCTGGGTTTTCTATCCTGATTTATTCAAAAAAGTTAAAGTTTCTCAAGAAATCTAACAACAGAACTACCCTATGATCCAGCAATTGCACTACTAGGTATTTACCCCAAGAGTACCAAAATACCAATTCAAAGGGATACATGTACCCTAATGTTTATAGCAGCATTATTTATAAGAGCCAAATTATGGAAACAGCCCAAGCATCCATTGAGTAATGAATGGATAAAGAAGATGTGGTATATATATATACAATGGAATATTACTCAGCCATAAAAAAGAATGAAATCTTGCCATTTGCAATAACATGGATGGAGCTAGAGAGTATTATGCTAGACAAAATAAGTCAGTCAGAGGAAGACAATAATCATATGATCTCACTCATATGTGGAGTTTAATAAACAAAACAAGCAAGCAAATGGAAAAAAATAAAGAAAGAGTCAAACCAAGAAACAGATTCTTAACTATAGAGAATAAACTGATGGTTACCAGAGGGGAGATGGGTGAGGAGATGGGTGAAATAGGTGATGGGAGTTAAGGAGTACACTTATCATGATAAGCACTGAGTAATATATAGAATCGTTGAATCACTATTTTGTACACCCAAAACTAATATTACACTGTATGTGAACTAACTGAAATTTAAATAAAAATGTTAGAAAATAGTAAATGAAATGGAATATATAAAAAGCACTTATCACCATGTCTAGTATATCAAATCTTTCCAATAAATAGTTGTTAATAAAATTGACTTGAAATATTGAATGATGTGCTGATCCCACATTGGATGTTATATTTCTAACAAATTTACAAATATAGGAACATTTTTAAGAAAAAAACTTAAATGTTTTTACTCTTTTTAATGTTTATTTATTATTTTGAGAGATGCAGAGACAGAGAGCGAGTGGGGGAGGGGCAGAGAGAGGGGGAGACACAGAATCCGAAGCAGGATCCAGGCTCTGAGCTGTCATCACAGAGCCCAATGCCAGGCTCCAACCCACGAACTGTGAGATCATGACCTGAGCCAAAGTCGGACACTCCACGACTGAGCTACCCAGGTGCCCCTAAATGTTTTTAGAAACATGTAGCCCTCAAAAAGAGGAAGATCTTAATAGAATCAGAAGAAAATAAATTACAACCAATATCCACTACTAGGTAGACAGAGAACGGGGAAAAATACTTGTCACAAAGCTTTTTTTTAAAAGTCCTGTAATTCAAAGAAGTGTAATTACCAAACTCCTCATAAAACAAATTATTATTTTTTTATTTAAAAAAGATTTTAATATTTATTTTTGAGGAAGGGAGAGAGAGAGAGAGAGGGACAGAGTGCAAGTGGGGGAGGAGCAGAGAGAGAGGGAGACACACAAAGCAAGCTTCAGGCTCTGAGCTGTCCTTTGTGGCTCAACTTCCTGAACTTTGAGATCATGACCTGAGTGGAAGTTGGATGCTTAACTGACTGAGCCACCGAGGTGCCCCTAAAAAAAAAAAAAACAAGTTATTTTTTAACCTAGAAGTCTAATTCTTTAAAAATTCCAAATAACCAAAGTTTTGCTTCAGAGTTCCCAATTTGCTTATGCCAATTCCATGGATTTTAAATTTAGAAATCACCTAAGATATTTTTGATTCAACTATAATTTGAACACATTTCACTGTGACTTAAACTACAGTACATTTAAAAGTTCAACTTAGAGCCATCTTTAATATTTTATTAACCTTTGGATCTCTACAATAATTGTGTAATTTGTTAGAGCAATAAAATAAAAGCAAAAATTATCTTAACAAATATAGACATGGGGCACCTGGGTGGCTCAGTCGGCTGCGCGTCCGACTTCAGCTCAGGTCATGATCTCACAGCTCGTGAGTTCGAGCCCCGCGTCGGGCTCTGTGCCAACAACTCAGAGCCTGGAGCCTGCTTCAGATTCTGTGTCTCCCTCTCTCTCTGCCCGTCCCCTGCTCATGCTCTGTCTCTCTCTGTCTCAAAAATAAATAAAAACATAAAAAAAAAAACAAATATAGACAGAACCAAAAATTGCCTTCAGATAAAAAACAAGATGCAAACTTTTGTGGTGACTGCTAATATCTTAAAACGAGTATGTCTTTGCAAGGGATGACTTTTAAAATAATATATTTACGGGGCGCCTGGGTGGCGCAGTCGGTTAAGCGTCCGACTTCAGCCAGGTCACGATCTCGCGGTCCGTGAGTTCGAGCCCCGCGAGTTCGAGCCCCGCGTCAGGCTCTGGGCTGATGG